TTCCCTACAACTTAGGGATCCTCCAGTTATGCTGAAATATTTACTGTAGCAGGAATTGGTCTGTAAAGCCAGCACTTCTTTAAAGTGATTTAATTTTGTTAATTTTGCAAGAAAATACAATATAAAGGAAGCATATAGGGTATAGAATACTGGAGGAACCATCTCCAGATTTCTGAATCTTTCTCTTTTGTTGATATGGTGCTTTTGTTGCTTTTGTTGATATGGTGTCTAACTTTTTTTTTTTTTTTACGTTTCTTTGTTTTCAGAAGCCCTGCTGTCTCTAAATATGTAGTGAGGTCTTTCAGGTGAAAAGAAATGTTATATGTCTCAGGAATCTTTTAATTGTGAGTGACAGAAACTTGACAGAAACCAACTAGCTTACTCAAAACAATTTTTCTTTTTCTCACATAATGGGGAGTGCTGCATTGATCTGGTCTCAAGGTATGACTGAATTCCAGGACTCAAATGCTGTTGAAAGAGGCCATCTCTTTCCTTGACTTCTCTCTCTGTGAGTTAGACTCACTGTTGTTCATTTGAGGAAACTTTTCCACATCGGTTCAGGAGTGGCTGAGAGGCATATGGAGGATAGCTGCAGGCAACCTCAAGTTTAATTCAGCAAGACTTAAAAAAAACTCTGGAAAAATATTGCTCCTCCCTGCCCCCAGGTTTTGAATGTAAAATCCCAGGAAAGGACCTTGATTGGCCTAATGTAGGTCACATGCCTATTTTTTCGTAGATCATCCTGACTAGGGTCTTAGATCCTCTGCCCATGCATTTAGGTGGATGCTGGGGTTCTATGATTGTATTCCCACTAGAAGTTGTATCATTAGAGGGTAATCCTTCTCTGACCAGGAGAAGAGAGGAAGAAGTGTCACCAGACAAAAACAGATGTCCATTTCATGTATATAATCTGTATTTTAACTTTTTATTTTTACAGACGGAAAGAATTTACTTTCAGGTTTTCTTACCTAAGGGGAGCAAAGAGAAGAGTAAGCCAATGTTCTTTTGCCAGCAGTGGAGCATTGGAAAGGTCATAGACTTTGCAGCTTCTTTAGCCAGTCTTAAAAATGACAATAACAAATTAACACCTAAGGTAACAACAGGTTATAACTTTTTCCCTAAAAGTTTTAGAATACTCTATAAAGCACGTTTATTACATTATGATGTATCTCTCTCTTAACAGAAATTGAGGTTATGTCACAGTACCTCAGGAGAGGCCTTACCCTTGGATCATATTTTGGAAACCTGGATCGCTAAGGAGGATTGTCCTTTATACAGTGGTGGAAATATTATCTTGGAATATCTGAATGATGAAGAACAGTTTTTAAAAAATGTTGATTCTTACTTGGAATAGTCATTCAGGGAGTTAAGCTAGAAATCGTGAGGAAAATTCATTGTTAATCAAATTCTTTTACTACAAATACTATGTATTTTTTATTTTTAAAACTTGCTTTTTATTTCATATTATGTCATAATTTACATTATCAGTCTTCTATTAAATTGGATTTGAATTTTTGTGTTTTCAGGTTTAACTATGAACTGACATTTAGCAAATTCTCTTATCTAATTAACTTTTATTAGGTTATGCTGTAATAACAACAACAAAGATATATTTCTCATTTGGTTAATGTCAGCTTTGATTGGCTGTGACTCTGCTCCATGTTATCTTTACTCCAGAATCTAATATGAAGGATTGACCCCTTCTGGGGACATTGCCATTCTTATGGCAGAAGAAAGAGATGGCTCTTAGAAGATAACGTGTATCACTTTTGCTTTAAGCAAGACACATGACCAAGCCTACCATCATGGGGCCTTAGTATCTACCTACATCATGATGTATAAATTGATCTGTATACATGAATTGTAGAAACTTAGAGGTCATCTCACTCACTCTTCAAAGTTTGTGGATGAGGAGTCTCAGGCCTAGGAAGGGAAAATTATTTTCTTGTTGTCACCTAAGTGCTCTGGGGCATATCTCTGATAAAAAACTCCCTCCAGTAGGATTCACCATTTTGTCTGTATCATATAGTACAGATAAGAAGAAAGATGGGATAGCTAAACTACATTACAAGTCCTTTATATATATACCAAAGCAAAACACATGCCAAAAGTAACTACATTTTACCAACACATTAAAATTAATGCTCCTGACTGATGTATTCTATCTATACTCAGCAAAGTACTACTATAGAGAAGAAATAGAAGTTATTTCTGTTTGTTATTTGTCCCTTTCCTACTTTGCGATAGACAGGGATAGTGGCTTTAGGTTTAATTAAAGGAATAAACTCACAGTGTTTATTTCATCTCTAATTCTTTCTTCATATTATTTTCATGCAGTGAATAGAGATAACTTCTGACTTCTATCAGCTGCTTATACATTCATTTATTAACCTAGTTATTCAAGTACCTACTAAATGTAAGGATTTGATTCTAACTGCCAGGGTGGATACAATGAAGAGATGTATACGTACTTAAAACTATAATACAAAGCAGTGTGGCAAGTGCCAAAGAATATATAGTAAGTATAGCTATGTTCTAATAGCTCTTTTATCAGAAACCATAAGACCAGAAGTAGAAATAATCTTTAAATATATTACCAGATACCAGAAAGTTTTAATACAAATACCTTAGCATCTGCATAATTACTTGCACATGGTAGATGACCAACACATGTCTCATGAATTGAACTGAAGCTAAATATACCGGAAAAAATACCAATGCGGGTTGAAAAGAAGGGAAGTAAGGCGAGCAGAGATTGAGCTACACTTGAGACTAAAGAAGAGGTCCTGTCAATGATTAGAAAAGAGACAAAGCAGCACGGAGGGAAGGACTTATGTCATCTGGTCCCAGACAGTGGAGCAAACTAGTCTATAAGAGACACAGGTGCCAGCATTCTTGGAGGCTCTATGGACGGGAGCTCCGGCCTGAGAAGTCTCCTAAGGAGAACAAGATTGTGGGCACGAGAGGAAGTCCCCCCAGTGTCTCGTTTCCAAATTACTCTGAAATCAGACATCTTTCTCAGGCTTTCTTTTAGGGCTTTCAATTGAGTCTGCTTAATATAATTCTAGGGTTGGCTGGCCCCACCCCTCCTTAGAATCTTTCTACCTGCTCACAGGCAACTAGAATTACAAGCAGAAAACCCACAAGTAGAAAAATGTTTTAAATTCAGATAAATATCTAACTACAATATGATACAAATGAGCTTAAGCTTCATATAATCAGCCAGTAAATACACATGAATAATAAATTACTAGATTTTTCCCAGATTTGTCAGATTTTATTCCAGGCAGTTTTCAGATAAGAAGCCTTGGAGAACCTGAAGAAGGGGAAAGGCTACAGATGGAAGGATCTGAGGAAAGTAAAATTTACATTCCTCACCTCTTTGACCTGGGCGACAAAAATTGTGATTTAAGATATTTGGTCACATAACTGTAAAGATAGCTTTGGTTTCATAAAGTTCTTATGTTTGTTTTGTTTTTGTCTTTTTAAACCAGGGAAGTTGTCTGGGAACTTAACTGAAATATCACAGAAACATTAGTTCCAGTCCCTATTTTCAACATTGATATAGTGTATTTTGTTTTTCTCAATGTAGTACATGGAAATAAAATTTATGGACTATAAAGTCTATTGTATTTGAAAGATTAACCTACATAAGTCAAAATTTTAAAAACTTGTAAAAATATCCAATAAAAATTGCTTTGACAATTTTTGAGGAGCAAACATTTTATGATCTAAAATACTTAATGTGTAACTGTCATTGTTGCATTTGACACAGATTGTGTCATGATTACAGGAAGGATCTGCTGAAATGATTATATGATCAGAGACTACTAGATCTGTAGGCTCAGTAGTAGATAACTAGTGGGGTTTTTTTGTTTTTTTGTTTTTTTTTTCTGCTTAGCATCAGAAGCCCCTCCTCTTGTTTGGGAAACAGAAAGCATTTGTGAATCTGTGGGTTGAAGTTCAAAAAGCCTGACTCTTTTCCTTATTCCTGGCAGCCAAGACAGGCATATGACCTAAGTTGGGTCAATTGAATATCCTTGCCATAGCTGTGAGTAAGGAGTAGTGTTACTAGGAAGGAATAAAAGATTAGAATTAGTCAGTGGGTTTTGATTGCCCCATTGTGTCAGGGTCCAAGTGTCCAGCAGCAGTGGTCCCTTAACCAGGCTGTACCTTTGGCCATGGATCTGGCTATGTGCTCTCCCTAGGTTGCCAAGCTATCTGGTAACCATCCAGGAATTTTTTTTTTCTACCTAAGGACACCGCAAACCGTTTCAGTTTTTGCCTAACTGATACCATCACTGTTTAGAGTCGTGGGAAAACCCTAACTAGCCTAAGGATGCTGCAAGGCCAATTTATGGGCTCTGCAGTTTCCTGAGTAATGATAAAGAGCCACCAAGACTAAGCTCCAGGAGGGAAGAGTCACCTAGCTTGATTACTGTGGTATACTCAGCTCCTAGCTCAGGCCCTAGAACACATATTCAGTAAATTTGTATTTGATTTTGACCTGAATGAATAAAATAGTAACACCCACCTCTAGGCCTCCTCAACATGTATTTAAAATTTTGGGATCCTGTCTGCTTTTAGTGCAGATTTTCCTTAGGAAGCAACAGAACTCAGAAAAAGATGACACTAAGGTTTTAAAATCAAATAAGTAGGAGGCTGTTTTTCCAGTGGCAGAAATGAAGTCAGGAGTAAATATTAGGTTTCTGCTGTGATAAATTGAACCTGTTAAATGCTATGACTTTGACATTTCATAACTAGGTTAAACCGTTATGTCACTCATTAGATAGCTCTGTGTTTGTTTGAAAAGTACAAGAGTCCCTCCTACTGGACTTTGATCTAGCAGAAACAACTGTTACCTAACAACCTCAGGCCATCACTGGAACACCTGTATGAAGAACGTTCTTTAGTTTATTTAAATGGTTTTGCATATGTAATTTATTTAAGCCTTCAAAATGATTAGAAAACTTTTTATGGTCCTGCTTTTGTCGTCTGTGACTCTTGGGGAGGCAAGGAAATCGTTTCTCAGTTTTCTGAACATAGAAAAGACTGAAATACTATTTTTCACAAAGACTGAAGAAACTGTTGTTGTAAGGTCAAGTTACAGAGATAAACAGCCAAACTCCAGCTACCTCTTTGTGCAACTAGAAGATCCTAAAATGCTCCAAGTGGTGAAGGTGACTAAGACCTTATCAGATGTTACCAACTTTACCGTAAACCTGGTGACAGATGAAGACGGGGAGACAAATCTGACCATTCAATTGTGGGATTCTGAAGGTAGGCAAGAAAGACTTATTGAAGAAATAAAGAATGTCAAAGTCAGAGTGCTCAAACAAAGACAAGACAGTCTTTTCCAGACATCAAACCTTATTGATAGAAATATCCTTATGCTTTTTCCACCAATGATACTGTTAAATAAATGTGCGTTTGGTTGTAAGATTGAATTACAGGTGTTTCAAACAATATGGAAAAGACCTTTGCCAATAATTCTTGGGGCAGTTATACAGTTTTTTCTTATGCCATTTTGTGGATTCCTTTTGACGCAGATTTTGGCATTGCCTGAAGCACAGGCTTTTGGATTTGTAATGACCTGTACCTGCCCAGGAGGGGGTGGGGGCTATCTGTTTGCTCTGCTTCTAGAAGGAGATGACACTTTGGCCATTTTGATGACTTGCACATCAACGTTATTGGCCCTGATAATGATGCCTGCCAATTCGTACATATACAGTAGGATGTTAGGGTTATCAGGTGCTTTGCATATTCCTGTTTCTAAAATTATGTCAACACTCCTTTTCATACTTATACCTATATCAGTGGGAATAATCATCAAGCATAGACTACCTGAAAAAGCAAACTTCCTGGAGAGGATCATTAGACCTCTGAGTTTTATTTTAATGTTTGTAGGGATTTATTTGACTTTCAGAATGGGATTAATGTTTCTAAAAACAGTGAACCTAGAGGTGCTTCTATTGGGTGTCTTAGTTCCTGCTTTGGGTTTGTCCTTTGGGTACTTTTTTGCTAAGATTTCTATGCTGCCTCTTCCTGTTTGTAAAGCTGTTGCTATCGAAGGTGGGGTACTGAATAGTTTCTTAGCCCTTGCTATTATTCAGCTTGCTTTTTCACGGTCCAATGCAGACTTGGCTTCTGTGGCTCCTTTCACAGTGGCCATGTGTTCTGGATGTGAAATTTTACTGATCCTTCTGTTCTACAAGGCTAAGAAAAGATGTATCCTTATCATAGAGGAGAAAAGAAAGAAAAATCCCCCGGTCTAACAGTTAAAGCTTTACTGAGGGCTTCCCTGGTGGTGCAGTGGTTGAGAGTCCGCCTGCCGATGCAGGGGACACGGGGTCGGGGCCCGGTCTTGGA